AAAAAAAAAAAAAACAGCCTGGGCAATAGAGTGAAACCCACCTCTCCCGCTTGTCTACAAAAAAATAAATAAAATTAAAATTAAAACAGGGCCAAGCACAGCGGCTCATGTCTGTACTTCCAATCCTTTGGGAGGCCGAGGTGGACGGATCGCTTGAGCCCAGGAGTTTCAGACCAGCCTGGGCAACAAAGCAAGACCCCATCTCTGCAAAAAAACAAAAGCAAAAAATTAGCTGAGTGTGGTGCCTACTTGGGAAGCTGAGGTAGGAGATGGCTTGAGCACACCTCTGCACTCCGGCCCGGGGGACAGAGTCAGACCCCGTCTAAAAAAAAAAGTTGGTGTTTTTTTGGGTGGCGGGGATGGATGGAGTCTTGCTCTACCGCTAGACTGGGGTGCTGTGGCTCTGTCTCGGCTCACTGCCACCTCCGCCTCCCGGGTTCAAGAGATTCTCCTTTCTCAGCCTCCCGAGTAGCATGACCAATATGGTGAAACCCCGTCTCGGCCGGGCGCGGTGGCTCACGCCTGTAATCCAAGCACTTTGGAGGCCAAGGTGGGCGGATCGGAGGTCGGGAGTTCAAGACCAGCTTGACCAACTTGGTGAAACCGTCTTTATAAAAAGAAAGAAAGAAAGAAAGAAAGAAACCCCATCTCTACTAAAAATACAAAAAATTAGCCGGGTGTGGCGGCGTGCACCTGTGATCCCAGCTACTCTGGCGGCTGAGGCAGGAGAATCGCTTGAATCCAGAAGGCAGAGGTGGCAGTGAGCCGAGGTGGCACCATTGTGCTCCGGCCTGGTGACAGAGAGAGACTTGTCTCAAATACATCACTAAATGAAACAAGCATACTGCTGGGGGAGACTGGAGGCATCGCAGGTCCTAGGATTGGACCCCTCTCTGTCCCCTCCAGGAAAAACAAAATCCAGGCCTCACTCACAGGCCCTGCACCACGCAGCCCCATTCTGTGGTCCTGCCCCAGCGCATCTGCACGGGCCTGACCAGCGCACGGTTCTCTGGGGTTGTCAGCTCCCTGCCCATAGGGCGCCTCCTTTGAAAACCCCTCCTGCGGACCAGGCAGGTCCCCGGGGACACCATCCCTCTGGCCTGGACCCCAGGAGGGCCTCGGATCGGTGGCTCGTGCCTGCCACCTGGCGGCCAGCGGCTCAGAAACCTGCCTTCTGCCCGGGCCGCACCCTCAGCCTCCGGACCCAGCACCCCGCATCCAGCACCCATTCCTGCCTCCTGCTGCTCTAGAGCCCACAACATCTCCCGGGCGGAAATCCTGATTTTTAAACGAATGCTCCTTTTTTTTTTTTTTTTTTTTTTTTTTTTTTTTTTTTTTTTTTTTTTTTTTTTTTTTTTTTTGAGACGGAGTTTAGCTCTTATTGCCCAGCCTGGAGTGCAATGGAGCGAACTTGGTTCACTGCAACCTCCACCTCCTGGGTTCAAGTGAGTCTCCTGCCTCAGCCCTCCGAGTAGCTGGGACGACAGGCATGTGCCACCACGCCTGGCTAATTTTGTATTTTCAGTAGAGATAGGGTTTCACTGTGTTGTCTAGGCTGATCTCGAACTCCTGACCTCAGGTGACCCAGCCGCCTCAGCCTCCCAAAGTGCTGGGATTACAAGCTTGAGCCACCGTGCCTGGAGAATGCTCCCTTTTTAGGGGGCTGGCAACTAAGTCCACATTTTATTTTATTTTATTTATTCGGAGGAGTGTTGTGCACTCTGCTGCCCAGGCTAGAGTGCAGTGGCCTGATCTCGGCTCACTGCAACCTCTGCCTTCTGGATTCAGCGATTCTCGTGCTTCAGCCTCCCAAGTAGCTGGGATTACGGGCACCCACCACCACACCTGGCTAATTTTTGCAATTTTAGTAGAGACGGGGGTTTCACCATGTTGGTCAGGCTGGTCTTGAATTCCTGGCCTGAGGTGATCCACCCACCCCGGCTTTCCAAAGTGCTGGGATTACAGGTGTGAGCCATTGCACCCGGCGAATGCTCCCTTTTTAAGGGGTTGCCAGCTATTTCCACATTTTAAAACATAGTGTTTTTAGGCCAGATGTTGGGGCTCAAGCCTGTAATTCCAGCGGTTTGGGAGGTCAAGGCTTGAACCCAGGTGTTTGAGACCAGCCTGAGCAACATAGTGAGACGCCCCCCATTTCTACCATATATATTTAATATGAATAAATAATACATATATTTTTTTCTTTGAGACAGAGTGTCATTCGCCCAGGCTGGAATGCAGTGGTGCAATCTGAGTCCACTGCAATCTCCGCCTCCAGGGTTCAAGGGAGTCTCCTGCTTCAGCCTCCTGAGTAGCTGGGATGATAGGGGCGCACCACCGCGCCCAGCTAATTTTTGTATTTTTTTTGTAAAGAAGGGGTTTCACCATGTTGACCAGGCTGGTCTCAAACTCCAGACCTCAGGTGATCCACCACCTCGGCCTCCCAAAGTGCTGGGGTTACAGACCTGAGCCACCACACCGGTGACAAGAGGTTAGACCCTGCTCGGCTCAGACAGAACTGGTGGCTTATCCAACTAAAAATTTAGATGCTGACGCTCCCAAAGAGAGGTCAAGGGGGAGGCAGATGTCAACTAATAAGGAAGCACTGGGCCGGGGACAATGGCTCCTGCCTCCAATCCCAGCGCTTTGGGAGGCCAAGCGGGGAGGATCACTTGAGCTCAGGAGTTCGAGGCCCAGCCTGGGCAGGACAGCAAGACCTCGGCTCTACGAAAATAAATAAGGAAGCAGTGAATTCCAATGTATTTATCACCAACTAGCCATGTTGCTAGGTGTGTTGTCTTTTAGGTGCACTGTGTCATTTAGGTCTGTGACACCGGAACTTTATTATTTGCACCTTTAAAAATAAAAGAATTGTCTGGGTGCAGTGGCTCAAGCCTGTAATCTCAGCACTTTGGGAAGCCAGGCCGAGTGGATCACCTAAGGTCAGGAGTTCGAGACCAGCCTGACCAACATGGTGAAACCGCCGTCTCTACTAAAAATGCAAAAATTAGCCAGGGGTGGTGGTGGGTGCCTGTAATCCCAGCTACTCGGGAGGCTGGGGCAGGAGAATCGCCTGAACCCAGGAGGCGGAGGTTGCAGTGAGCATGATCGCGCCATTGCACTCCAGGTTGGGCGACAAGAGCGAAACTCCGTCTGGGGGAAAAAAAAAAGAATTTAAGAGGTTGAGTCACTTGGCCAAAAATGCCCAGGAGGAAAAGATCAAGTCAGGTACCCCGGCTCTAGAGCTACTAACTGATCGCCGGAGACCCTGGGCCTTGGAAGAAGTCGCCTCCCCAGATCTCCAGGCGGGTCGTGCAACTCTGGGAATCTCAGCTCTAGGAGGGAAATCCCATTCCACAGGGAAGCCTCCTCTCCGAGGCACGGGCGCATGCGCGGGAGGCCAGCCGAGGGGGCCGCGGAGGCGGCGCTCTGGCCCGCGTGGCGCAGTCGTCCGCGTCTCGCTGGTGATGACGCACGGTCGGGGCGGCGGGAAAAGCAAGATGGCGGCGCCCATGGAGGTGGCCGTGTGTACGGACTCGGCGGCCCCAATGTGGAGCTGCATCGTGTGGGAGCTGCACTCGGGCGCCAACCTGCTCACCTACCGCGGCGGCCAGGCGGGACCCCGCGGCCTGGCGCTGCTCAATGGCGAGTATCTGCTGGCGGCGCAGCTGGGCAAGAACTACATCAGCGCCTGGGAGCTCCAGCGGAAGGTACGGCTGGCGGTGCGGGCTCGCTACCGGGCCTGGCGACGGGGGTCACGCGGCGCCCGAGGCTGAAGTCGGGGGATGGGTCAGTGGGGGCCGCTTGCACCCTGAGTCGGAGTTGGGGTGGGGCGGGGAGGTCTCCCTTCGGGGGCTCTGCGCATGCGCGAGTCTGGGGGCTTTGGTGCGAAACGGGCGATTTGGTAGGCCGTTCTGCGCACGCGCGGGGCCAGGCTGGGGCTGCAGTGGGGGCGATGGGGGCAGTGGGGGATGGGGACGCTCCCTCGTGGCAGTTGCACCTGCACGAGTTCTTGGAGCGCGAAATTTGATTAAAGGGGGCTGTGAGCT